TATATTGATTTGTGTGCCAGATTAAAATTTGTGGGGAAATATTGAGAATAATCAGTAAACAATTTTAAAATTTATTTTCTTGAAATATTGCCTGTTTTCCACAGCTTTGAAGCAGTTCTAGCTTTGTTCATAATTCAAAAATGACCGTGTGCTAAAATTTAATTTCAAAGATATATAAGTCCTCGCAGAAAACTTGTTCAGGGGTCTAGGTTTATTCTTGAAATGCACATATCTTTTAGTCACTTACTGTATGGGTTATGTTTTTGAGGTGGGGTTTTTTTGTTTGTTTGGAACATGATCAGCACTGTGCTGATCTGGACTGCACCCAGCAGCCTGGGGATGGCGTCACTCCCGTGAGACCACGAGTGGATGCTGTAGTCGACGTTTTGATGGAGTGTCTTCATTTCCTGATGGAAGAAGAAGGGTCAGTTTAAGAACAAGTGGGGACGATGACAAAATTTGGGAAAGAAGCTCAGCCCTGGGAACTAGGTCTTCCCTAGCAAAGGACTGCCAGGAACTGTGGGTTTGCCAGTTTAAGAAATTGCTGCCTGTTAGCATGAAGCATCAGCTCTGCTTTTGTAATTAATATGTCTAGACTTCAGGTTCTGAATGTTTTGTGCTAAGTGACACAGGTAACTGCCAAGGTGAAGGAGATCAGCCTCCTGGGTAAACATTAACTGCAAACAAACAAGCTACTCCTGCTAAATTTATCTAGCAGTATTTATGTGAATGGGGAGGTAGAAGGAAGATGTGAGTGTATATGGGTGTGGCAAAGCCCTCACAATTCAGAGAATAATGAACTAAGTCTTTGGACTGGAAAATTATATTGGAAGGTCTGGGAAGGCAAAGGCAAGATTGCAGGGTGCTGCTAATGGTAAGTTCAGAAACTGTGGCCAGGTCTCTGTACACATTGGTAACAACATCCTCTGCCCTGCTGGTACAGCTGGCTGGGTGACAGCCCCCTTCCTTCTCCAGAAAATAAACTGATGCCAAGAAAGGGCAGTACCAGCAATCTCACCCTCATTTTACCTACCTGTGTCTTTAACAGCCTCAAAGATGCCAGCTGTTAGGAGGATGGTGATCTTGTAACAGAATAACAGTACCCTTCCAGAATCTCCCTTCGTGATGCAGCAATTTTGTGGTTTCTGGAAAGGTCAAGTAGCATCGTTAATGCACACCATGTAATTCCTCTGTGAAGGTGCAGTGCTTCATTTGTGGGAAAAGACATGTTCCTCTGAATGCAAATTTGGGTGTTCCCAAGCTGAAGGACAGGAGGATATGTTGGTGCACTGTCGCCACCTCGCTCATCATGGAGATGAGACCTTTATATTTGAGTTTGAGTTGCTTCAAAAAGTGATATCTAAGCAAGTCAGGAATAGAGTGCTTAAAAAAAAAAAAAGAGGAATGAAAAGAAAAGAAGATTTTTTAACACCTAAAACTTAGGTTTTTTTATATGATTTCTTTCAGCCTAGCCTGAAACAACATAACTCTTTGGACTTTGTAGGAGATTAAATCCAGCCCTAGGTTTTTCAGGTAAAATTATTGCTCTGCTCCTGGGCTGTCCCCTGAGCCATCTCTGTCTATTTCTAATTAAGGACTGAAGGAAACAGTTCCTTCTGTTGGGAAGAGTAGCATGAAGAAAGCTGTGAGTGCTCCTGTGGGGAGGCTGGTGCCATTACCACCCTCCCACCAGGAGCCAGCATGCCTGGGCTCTCTCTGCAGGCTGCTCTCACAGGGCATGGCCAAAGACTGGGGACCATCCAGGTAATCTGCCAAAAGGTATCACAGCAGATCAAAATTCATTAAACATACCTACTCTGACGTGTTTAGCAATGCATTGGAAATCTCATCTGGCAAGTATCTGGGAGTGAAATTATTCTGTGTATCCTGGAAGAAGCAGAGGAGGTAGGGATGCTGTGGCTGGGGTGGTGGGGGTGCGCTGAAAGCTCTTTGAGCCCGAGACACTGGCCTTTAGGCACAATTTACTGGCATTTAGGCACAATTCATTGGTATATCCAGCATGTGTCTTGGCAGATCTTAGGGCTGAGATAAATCAAAAAAGCAATGTGCCAGATTTGAGATAATTTAATTTCTATTATACAGCCTTTATTCATACATAACTTTTGCAAGAGTTTGACTTGTTGCTCACGTTCTGGTTCATGTCCTTTAAGATGAATTAGAAACAGATGCAACATTTTTTAAATAACAATATACCATTTAAAAACTGTTTGAATTCACCTTTTGGAATTTGACCTGTATGAAACAAATATAAATGACACTGACTTTTGAGTGGTGAGTGTTTGCATGTTCTTTGGCTCCGAGTCTTACAAAACTGAGCATGAATACTACACATATATATGCATATTTCACTCACATATGTAGACATGCCCCGATGCGGAAAACGTCATGAGGTTTTCATGAGCTTAGCTATTGAAACAAGACACAGATTAAAACATTAAAAGGTACCTCTGGGATTGTTTTAGATTGCAAATTTAAAAAAAATAAAGAAGAAATCTATTAAAAAGAATCATTTTCCATTAACTGAAGTGTTTGCAATAAAGACAATTATAGCAGTTGGCAGTATTCTCCTTGAACCAAAACAAATAAATACATTTGGTGACATACGTTCAAGGAAATGTGATTGCTGCAATGTTCATGCAAATAAGGAGCAGCTTCACAAATGCTAGACATTTTGCCATCTGGTATTACCAAAGGAACACAACTCTCAACTTGTAGCTCTTCCTAACTTACTGCTTGAAGATGGTGTATTAGGCATTGTCACGGTTCTGACATTTGCATAATCATTCTGAATTACTGCAGGTTGTGCATTGCCTTGCCAGCAGTGAATTCATTTGAGAAGGGGGTTCAGAGACCTGGTGACTTGTATGGCTTCATCAAATATATCTCTGTCCAATAAAGGGGTAAAAATGTTCTACCACACCAGTGAATTTTTAAATTTGTATGAGGACTAGTGAAGAATGTTGGACTTCCTAGAAATTGGGTAGAGACCAGTATTGTAAATTATCTCAGGGAAGCTGCCCATCTCTATTTGGCTGCAGGCTAGAGTACAAATGCAAAGCTTCTCAAAGAGTCAGAAAATTCTGGATGGGGAAATGTAGCTGACGATGAAGTTATAACCTGATCTCTTAAAACTCCAGGAAAAGCAATCCTAACAACAGTTATTAAGCATGGCAGAAAGTCTGGCATAGACACAGGTGGCTGTTTACTGACTCAGCTGATGGCACAATGGCTCGATGGCACAATGAACTGGAGACCTCTTCTCTCACAGCAGTCAATGACAACAGCTCTGCCTCTGGTCTCAGCAGCATGTGCAGGAGGTGTTCTCACTCCCAGGAGCCCATGGGGAGGCCTTCACCATCCCCTTCCTACTGCAAGAAGGCATTTTCCATGCCCAAAACTCCATCCCTATGATGGCCTCCTCATTACTCTGCTTTTCAAGGGGAGGGTGTTGGAGTGAATAACATGCATTGCTCATGAAAAGTATGGGATAAAAACCCCAAAACTCTCAACCACCTGTAAGTGGTTGTAAACAAGGAGGTGTTTGGACACTGTCTCCAACCTGCTGTGCTGAAATCCTGTGTTTCACAACAAACCCCTGTGTCTGAGAGCTGTGCTGGGCCCCTGGCATCTGCCCTCAGACCATCAGAGGGCTACTCTGCAGTCCTGCTTGAGTTAGCAGCATCAACAAGAAAACAAAAGATTTTCTGTTCATTTAGTGGCTGTTGAGGCATTGTTCTCAAGTATTAATAGCATCTAACATATCCTGTGTATTTTCAGCTCTCTCCAGTCCTGAATTAGAATCAGATAGCTGTTGGCCTTTTGGCTGCCTTGCCTGAGGCACACTAGGTAGCATCACGTGGGTAGCCAATGCAACATATGCTTTGCTAACTGGGAAGCTGGTTAGCAAGACAACGTTTATCTTATTAACACATGGTGCACTTACATGACATTAATACATATTCCTACTCTACAGATTTAGTCTGTCATAGGAAAAACATTAGCTGAGCTAAGCAAAATAGGAATCAGCATACTTGTCACATTGTCCTGAAATAGCATGTTAACTTTGTTAGACATGTTGTCTTCCTTTGTGAGGAGAATAAAACATAACAAACTGAAATGTGTAAAACTGAAAGGTGTTGTTCTGTAGAAATTCAGAATAAGAATTCTCTGGTTTATGTTGCCATGTTTCTGAAAATAAGAAAAGTCAGTTATTATTCTGAATGGCTATATTGGAGCTAAAGTTGTTAATTTCTGAAAATTAATGCTGTTGTAATGCAGTGATTTTGTTCTCTCTACAGCTACACTCTACTAGCCATACATACACTGTTGTGCCACTATTCATTTATTCACGTTCTGTGGTTGTGATAGTGTCAAATCCATCAGAAAGAGGAATTGTTTCAGTAGTAGTTTCACGACTTGGCTGATTAGCAGAGATCAGAAGAAGCAACCTAACTGTGGAAACCACCACAGCATATAGTTTTAACAGCTCTTTAGGGAGCTAGTTAATGAAAGAATCACTACAGAAACACAGCCATGTGAAAAAAGGAGCATTTTCATACAACACTCAGAGGATATGTCATAAGTGGGAACATGTTCATAATTTCTGTTTACTCACAGCTGTAATTACCATCTGCCTTAAGAGAACTTCTAGTCTTTGTCAAAGTTGCTTAGATATTTCCTTTGTCTCGTTTCAAGCAGAGAAGTTCTGTACAGACTAGATCCTGCCATGTGATTCCTTTTTTATTTTTCTGTAAGAATTTAATTATCTATTCTCTGTGTGAAGAAAGCACCAGCATTCCCAGAGACCTGAACCTCCCCAGCCTACTTGAACTGGTGTTCATCTGATTCATGTTTGTGCTTATTTTTGCCATCTGTCTGCAAAACAGAGCTCTTAACTTTTAAATGCACACTGGTTTATATGTTGCCCTCTAATTTTTAACTCTTAAAAACTATTTATCTTTTTTTTTCTCTAACTCCAGTGTCTATGAGCCAGATAGAAACGTGCTGCGAAGGAAGGAGTGGGAAAGGAGAAACCAGGAGGCCCAGCAGGACAATGGCGCGTTTAACACGAGCTATTCCCTCTTCAGTGAACCCTACAAGGTAGATGCTTCCCAGCTGGGCGAATCTTTGTTTATTTATTTATTCCTCAGTACAAAAATGTAGCCTGCCGAAGGCACTGTCCAAGTTTCATCACCCTCCCACGAGTGCTAGCTTCCCAAAATTCACAGAGAACACGCATGATTCCCTGAGAGTCAGATTTTATATATATTTATGTTTATGTATGTGTATAAAGCTTCTTCTAGTGTTTAGCAGCACACAAGAGTGAAATAAACTAGAAATATCCCAGCAATATTTGAGATGGAATTAAAATTAGGAGGTGAAGGTGAAAGTATCCTGTTTTTGCAATACTTAGAAGAAAACAATTGTGTAAGACTAGTGTGTGAAGGTCAAGCACTACTGTAAACATTGTGCCCTGGCCAAGGTTATTGAACTGAAATATCTTTTTTTTTCCTATAAGAATTACCAGGATAATAAGAAAATTTGTCTGCTATACATGTTTTTCCTCCACCAAAGGCAGAAATAGCATAGGAGTCTCAACTCCCTGTGTTGTTCCTCATGGTAACAGCAGTTTGATGAGGCACGACTGTCTTTCATCACTCCCCACTAGAAGGTCAAGCAGGGCCTTTTACACTCTGCAGGAGTTTGAAAATGGTGAGCAGGACCAGAGAGAAATGCCCCATGGGGGCTGCTCCTCTCCCTCAATTTACCCAACAACCACTTGTTTGTATCAAACCATCATCATGTATTTTCTGCTGTGCCTTTCCAGAAATGTCCAAGTTCCTGTAACAGCTGCCACACTGTGTAGCCTTTCCCTCCATGCAGCATCACTTGCCCTTGATGCTTAGGGTGCTTTAGTGCCTCTTTCCAGGAGAGGTATTTGGAACCTGGCACCTGGCTTCTGCTTCGACTTCCATGCTTGCGTTTTAATTCTTGTGCTCCAGGGTCAGCTTTTGGCTTGCTCTTCTTCCAGATTGTTGCTTGTATTTAGTCCCTAATAAAAAAGAAAGATCTACCACTTTCAAACCATGTCCCTTGAAGGAACACAGCTCTGTCTGCCTTGAAGCTGACCTCCAGCTGCCCGGATTTCAGATTCATTACAAAGGCATTTAGAAACCATGTCAGATGTCTTGAACTCCTCAATGACCTACTTGAAAATGTCTGCCGTGAGACCAGTCAAGGGCTAATCCATGGAAGAAAGCCTGGAAAGCATAAGTCAGCTGTGTCTTGGCATTTCTTGAGGGTTGTGCTGCAGTGATGACTTAATGATTTTCCATTTGGTCCAGTCAAACAGACCACACAGAAAAAGGACCTGGCCTTTTGCTGTGTCTCCTGTACTGTTTTGTCTTTGGTGCCTCAAGTTGGTGATACTGAAGGTCAAATCACTTATGAAAGGGATATCACTTCAATTATTACTTCTGTGCTGATGTACTGACTGTCATGGCACAGATGTGATGTGCCATGGACACACCAGCAGTTTCTGAGTTAGGATGCCAGAAGGCACCTCTGTGCAACCACAGTAAAATTCCATCAGCCTTAACAGGAGTGGATAAAAAACCACTGCTGCCTCTAGAAGCAGAGAGGATACTGAGTGGATAATCCTATGAGGCAAGCAGAGTAATGGCTCCTTCCCTGCTTCTTACCTTTAAACATTGTGTCCCTATTTTGAACACATGTGAGAAGAGGGTGCTGCAGAAATACATCCTGCAGCTAACTTTGTCAAGGAGACTTGGGGAAAGGCAAAGCCCAGGACAGCAGTATAACTCACAGCTGTGTTGGTGTGGCAGAGTTGCTTGGGGTGATCAGTCCTTCTGATAATATTGGACATCAAAACTTCTATCACTGGCTTACTCTGGATGTCATGTATACACTGGCAATGGACCATTGGGCTCTCTGAACTAAGTCAAGCATTTGTGAACCTTCAGTGCAGGGAGAAAGAGCTGTGGCTTTTTGATCTTACTGTGGAGAGCCTAACTGCAAAAGAGGAAACCTTTCTGCAAAAGCAAAACTGAAACCCACTTGTAGTCCCTTTAAAGATCGTGTTCACCTTTTAGGGGTTTCCAGAGGGGAATGAAGTTATAGAGGACATTCACTGCAAGCTCTGATTAAATTCAGTATTCCTCTGCACAGCTTGAGAAACATGAGCTAAAGTCAAAGGATATGCTATTCAGAAGACCATATTTGAAACTCAAAGGCAGGCTGGAAATCTTCTAAATCTTATGTCCTCTCTCACCTTGACATGTATCACTACTACTGTAACATCAAATTTTCTCAAAAATCCCGACTCTTCAGGTTGCCCCTTATCCTGTTCAAAGTATCCATAGCAACCCTCTATGAAGGATTACAGGAAATCCAGTATCTTTTACATAAAATCTCTTTTATAGGGGAATGAAAAAGTAGGAAATTAGTTCTGGATATTTTCTGGACAGAGCACCTTGCCCCATTAACTATGTAAGTATTTTTAGGGAAGAAAAAAATTCTGCTGGCCTTCCATGCAGCCGTCAGGTTTATTTTTAGAAGTGTTATATGTTGCCATCTTCAAATGCTTGGATTTGTCTTGCATTGCAGAAGAATATCAGAGCACTCTAAGTTAGACATGTTTGCACAGAATGCTTTTCCTACTTACCCATTTTGTGACCATATTTTCCCTGTGGGAATGCTTAAATAAGGCCAGCAATATTTCAGAGAAGATAATAGGACAAACTAAAGCTCATAACAAGTTACCTCAGATCCCACTATGTTTCCAAGAGCATGTAGGTGAGTTCTCATATATGAGAACAGCTCAACACAAAATCTCACCTGAAGCTATCCCGAGTGAATCTTGCAGGAATAAACAGCACAGACCAGTTGTCAGCCTATGCCATGATACCAGTTTGCTGCAGTTATTCTTGTGGTTATCTGGGATCTCTCAGTACAAGATGTCTGTTTAGGAAACCCTAAAAGTAAAAGGTTCAAAACTGTGGAGTTTCTCTTGAATACCTTCCCTTCCATACCCCCAGTTTTCCAGATTAACTGATGTGGTTGCTACATCTTTCGTGTTTTTAAATGTAACTTTAAGAGGATCTTCTCCACTTCCTTTACTCCCTTCTTTCTCCTTCCTTCTGTTTTCCCCTAAAACAGAGTCTTGAGATGAAAGCTTGGCCTTCTGAAACTAATAGGAGTTTTCCCATTCAGACCCCATGTCTGTCTGGAAGAGAGAAAGGAGAACTTCACTGCCTCATTACTGTCTTCCTCTGAAAACGTAAAGCAAAGGACATCACACGCCTGAATCTTGGCAGGACTCAAAAAATCTCTGCTGTAAAAATGCTAATGATATACCCTTTTCCTTACAGTGCCTTTTTAAAGCAAGAATTTTCAATCTTTTCCAGCATGTTTTGTTTGCTTGTTTTATTTCTTTGTGAAGCTTCTGCCTTTTCAGTCAGAAAGTAAGTGGATCATTTTTAAGACAATAATTAATCTTGAAGGGGAGGAAGGGTGGCTGTATTCCCCTGCTATGCACAGCAAGCACTGAGAAATGTGAAGAATTTGGCAAGGGTTCTGTTCACCTTTTTTTTTTTTTTTTACAAGAGAAGAGTGCCCTGGAACAAGCACCCTTTCAGAGCATTGTTAAAGAAGGGACATAATCTGTACTTTTCTCATTTCCCACAAGCTGTTTTCAAGTCACCTCAGAGCATTTGGCTGGCTTAGACTGACAAATTCATTCAGCGCTTGCATGGGATGCTGTGTGGCCTCCCAGATGGTTATGAAAACTTAGGCAGGCAGAGGAAGAAATTGGGAATGCAGTGTTTTCATTCATGACTGAAGGAGAGCTTTCACTGGGCTACAGGAAAAGTTTTATCTTGGTCAGATTTAATCCAAACCATTCTGTGCAGTTGCAATAATAAATTTTCCAGTTTCCAGGTAATATACTTTAACTACAGCGTGATATCTGTGATAGATTTCTTTTTTTATATACTCTAAGGCCCTTTATAGCTTTTCCAGTTCAGGGTAGATTTAAGATGTTGACAAGTGTCTTCAGAGACAATAAGGATTTTCGATTTCATCCCTCAACGCTGCTGCTGAATAAGGCAGTCTTACTTCAGTAAGGATTTGAGCAGAAGCACGCAGGGAATTTTGTTTTTCTTATGTTGACTGTAGCAGAACACTTGATTTTTGTTTTGCAGACTAACAAGGGGGATGAGCTTTCCAATCGCATCCAGAATACTTTGGGCAACTATGATGAAATGAAAGACTTGTTAACTGACCGGTCAAACCAGAGCCATCTCGTTGGGGTTCCAAAACCTGGGGTTCCTCAGACATCTCTCCCCAAGACCGATGAACACCTTATCGCAGACTCGAGACCACCGCCTCCTCCTCCTATTTCCAGCACTACTTCTTCCACATCAGCATCCCTAGCAGCCCAGCAGAGCAAGAGTACCACAATGGGCTGGCAGAAGGCTGGACATAATGCCACTTCAGATGGCCAGCAGAGAGCGAGCAAACACGGACACCGGTTGCTGGAGTCACACAAGGGTGACTTCAAAGTGGCCAGCCAAAAATCCAGTTTGGAGAAACTAAAACACTATGCATCGAGTCCCACCTCCTCCTCTTCCTCCTCCTCTTCCTCCTCTTCTTCTTCCTCTTCCTCCTCCACCTCCTCTTCCTCCTCCTCCTCCTCCAATGCTGCCCAGCAAAGCTCACTGAGGGCCACATTAGGAGACAACACCAATAGAGTCCAGCAGGCAGCGAAGCTCAGTTGCAGCTCAGAAGGAGGAACCAAAGTCCAAGAGAGGCCAGCAAAGCATGGTGGGGGGCACTGCGTCCAAAACTTCCCACCCTCTCTTGCTTCAAAGCCCAGTCTGGGTCAGCAGAAGCCAACAGCCTATGTAAGGCCAATGGACGGTCAGGACCAGGCTCCGGATGAGTCTCCAAAGCTGAAGTTACCAGCAGAGACAACCAAGTCATATCGGGGAGTGCCTTCCAGCAAGCCTGATTCAGCCAGGACCAAGTCAAAGATCACCAAGTTCAGCATTCCTAAGCAAGAAGAGGTAAGTGTTTTCATATTTCTTATGACATACCCCCATGGATGGATGGATGGATGGATGGATGGATGGATGATGTCTTATTGCACCTGTCTCTTTATATATTTTTAACATACTGGTTTGCATATTGATATTTTTGGTGACATTGTTGTAGTGTATTGCAAATAGCAGCCTCACAGCAATTTAAAGGTATCTCAACACCAAAATGCTCTTTGTCTTCAGGACCAGAACACTTCCTACACTGGCACATTTTCTAGTAGTATATATTATTTCACTGACTCTTTCCAGAGTGCTCATTTATAAAACCTGAATTTTTTTTTTGGCAGGTGTATTGCTTCTTGCTGTTCATATTTCATTGATTTCTTTCTCTTTGGCAAAGATTAAATGAAGTGAATGTGACCAGAAATAGTTCTGCCATCCTCAATGTCAAAGTAGTTTCACAATCTAAATAAATTACTTACACAATATGAAATCTGTGGAATAGATGAGAATAGAGCAATGAGACTCCCCTTTTAGTTAATATTATCTGTTTGTGTTTCAAGCCAATTTATGAGAAGACTGAGGTTTCCTTCTTAAAGAATTTCCATCTATAGAAACCTGGTGTACTGGGTTGACCCAATACACCTGGCCATGCTACAAGTATGAGAATGTGTCTGACAAAGCTTTTAGACAACTTTTATTTATCAACAATAGATATAAAATATGTCTGCTTGGACTTACTGAATATTAATTTAGTTCACATTCCTCTTATACCAGGAGGACACTTTGCTTTACCACTTTGACTGTGATTGTTTTTGACTATTTGGTCTGTTTTGATGGGAAGGAATTGATTTGTTTTGGCAGAATAAAGGGTGGTTTTTTTATTCAAGCATGTATTCACAGGCCTCTATGCCAATACAAAGATGGTCACATCGTCCTCTTGTGCAAATTGGTAGATCTCCCATGAATTCAACAATTTATAGTATTTATAGGACTATAAGACTCTATTTGACTGAATCACTGTGACTTTCTCAGAGAAGAAGCAATGATTGTTTACTCTTTTTTGACAGCTGTGGTGTGTCTTGAGATGTTTTAAGTCTTAGAATTTTGTTTCTGGCATTGTTAAAGGAGAGGAAAAATCTAATTTTTGGTGGAGTTCTCTGGCCTCTTAATGCCTGCTTTTCAGAAATGGAGTTGACTCTTGTATTCCCCTTGGGTTTGGTTTGGGAAAGAAATCTCTCTGGAAGCAATTATTTCTGTGATTTTTCTCTAAGTGAAAGTTCCATCAGTTCCAAACAACATGTAGGTGATATGTTGTCCCTGAAAAGGGGTTGTTTTAGGCTCTTAAGCTAGATCTTATAAGCAAATTTACATTCACAAAGTGCTGTAATTGTGCAGATAGATCAGGTAACAGCAGATAGTAATATCCATTTAGCTGTTATTACCCCTTTCAGACTTGTGCTTCTATCTGCATGTGGAAAGCGTTGTTAGAATTAAAGATGCCTGTGGCAATTATCTGACTCGTTCAAATTTCCCCCCTCTACAAGTAGGCAATACTCTAAGGACTAGTATGGAAAGGAGTTCTGATAGGCAATCATTTGTTTGTCTGAAACTCAGGATTTACCATTTGCATTCCAAATTCGTCTACCTCCGGAAAGAAAGATTTAATTTGTTGTATGCAATCCATGCTGCTGCATAAGCATAAGTTTATACTGCAGTTTCTAGATGAGGAAATATAGCTGAGACCACCTTAAACTAGCTTGTTTAGATACTGATGGCAATGTAGACTATAGTAGGAGAGAGTGGACTGCAGGGTACCTACTAAAATATTAATCAATTTCTCACAGATTTTATGTGATGCAGTGTTAATAAAACAGTATTAGATAACAGAATATAAACATTCAACTGAAGTTGAAGGAGGTGGACCAAAAGCAGTGTCTGGTAGTTTAAAAAAGATTTTATGAAAATTTATGGACAAATTTCTAAGAAGAAAAATAGTAGGTACTATGGGTGTTGGGGTTTGAAACTGGAGCTAATGAAAGACAATGTTTAGATATGAAAAATCAATGAAAGACAACGGACCAGCTATTTTTCACTTATCCTGATATTTTCTTTGTTCTAACTTTTTCCATCCCAAGTGGCACAAGCTGAAACTGGTAACCCACTGGTATTGCTACAGGGAGAAATATTGACCAACACTGAAAGTTTTTTATTTAGTGTTGCCTAATCCACCCGCTTTTTGATTTTCAGTTGGACTTCGTTTAATTTCAAAATGTTTTTCCATTTCTATTATTTGTATCATAAATCTTCTAGAAGAGTTGTGTAAGAATTCCCATCCTTTTAAAAAATTTCTGCTATTAAACTCATAAATTTTCTCCTTTACATCAAATGTTTGCCATCCCCCCTTAGGGCCAGAGGTTTTAAGCTGCTTGCAGCACAGAAGCTGCCATGGTCCTGTGAATGTTTGCAGGCAAAATGAGGCCTCTGTTGTTCAGTGAGGCTAAAGGTGTTGGCCAGGACAGACCTGGTATCCCCAGTGGCTGTGGGAAGAGCTGAGATGTCATATAGGATGACTGTGAGGGAAAGCAGGCTGACAAGGAGGCTGCAGCAGTGCCTGGAAGCTACATGGAAACAGAAATGAGAGTGGCAGAAAGCTGTTTAAGGGCAGCCAGGAAAGAAGGAGAGGGGCAGAGGGCTTGGGGTAGGGTATCTGAAATGCTGGTAGTGAAATGAAGCTCTGTGTCTGCTAAAACAAAAGGTGTGTGGCTGAGAAGGGCTGGCAGGGCAGTCACTGTGCTCTAGGGTTCGTGTAGGCAGTGCTGGGAGGCCTTCCTCGCTCTGGGCAGCCTTCTGTCCACCAGAACCCCCAGGTCCTTCACTGAAGAGCTCATGTCCAACCAGTTAGCACCCAGCCTGTGTTGTTGCTGAGGTTATACCTCCCCTTACTCAGTATTTCCCCTTGCCAGACTCTTATCAGTTTATCCAACATGAGTTCTGGGCCCCCAGCCCAAGAAGGATGGGGACCTGCTGGAGCAGGTCCAGAGGAGGGACACTGAGCTGACCAGAGGGCTGGAGCACCTCTCCTGTGGAGGCAGGCTGGGAGAGTTGGGGCTGTTCAGCCTGGAGAAGGGAAGACTCCAGTGAGACCTTATGGCACCAGGACCTAATAAAGGGAGCTGCAAGAAAGCTGGGGAGGGACTTTTTCCAAGGGCATGTAGTTACAGGACAAGAGGTAATAACTTGAAGCTGAAAGAGGGTAGGTTCAGATTAGATATTAGGAAGAAATTTTTTACTCTGAGGGTGGTGAAACAATAGAAAGGGTTGCTCAGAGAAGCTGTGGATGCCCCATCTCTGGAAGTGTTCAAGGCCAGGTTGGATGGGGCTCTGAGCAATGTGGTCTAATGGAAAGTGTCCCTGACTACAGTACTGGGGTTGAAGTTAGATTATCTTAACATCCACTCAAACCCAAACCATTCTGTGATACCTGTGCACTTCCATTTGTGTTCATCAGTTTGAAAGAACTGTCAGTGGAAAAATAAACACATAAGGAAACAAAGTTAAGCTTCCCTGTAAGGACTGGAGAATAAGCAGCAGTGTCACACAAAGTGTGTGTGTGTGTGTGTGTGTGTGTGTGTGAGAGAGAGAGCAGCAGGATACAAAACCCTCTTCCGTACATTCCATGAGGTTTTCAGAGAAACAGGGTGCAGAGTTGGCCGCCATACAATTATTATTGACTTGAAATAAGATCTCTTGAATATGAATTACAGACCATTACTTTTCAATACATGAAAAAGGTTGATTTTTAATGCAGTTCAATAACTCATTTTATATTTTTAATCAGTTTTGGAAAGTCTTCAATAGACTTGACACAGAGTGAAGCTTATAAATTTTTAAAATTGTTTTAATGAGAATAATTTGGATAGACCTGTGTGTGGAAAGGTAGCATTTACTCATTTGGGAATTTAATCTTTAGTAGCCAGGTTCATCAGTGTGAACTAGAATCCATACCCCACCTCCTGGTCATTCCAAAATTACCATACTGCTCTGTAGAAATGATAGCTCGTCATCTCAAGTGCTGGTATTTCACATTTTGAACTACTTAGAAATTATATTGCTGTAGGTAAAATCCCACTGTATTGGATAAAAGGGAAGCAAAATTTGATATCAGAGTACAGAGGAAAAGAGACAGGGAAATCAAGTGCCTCTCTTTTCTAAAATGTTCTTGAGTGAAACAATAAGAAAAACATAGGGTGGCAAATCATGTTCTTTATATCCAAGTTCTGTTTTTGAATTTCATCTCATAGGCTGCATGCTGCTTTTTTATTACATTGAAGAAGCCTTATCTATTGTCCTTTGCTTACTTCTCTTAAGGGTTATGGAGCAAAGAAACAGAGGCTGTATTCAAGAATGACTATGAGTCTAATGGTAAAAAGGAAGATTTGTTTTTGTTAAATTTGGAAACACATTTATGTGAAATGTAGGTAAGGTCATCATGAGGACATATTCTTTCTTATTCACTTCACAGAGTACTTACACAACTTCTGCGGCAGAAGTAATGCGCCATAGATTAAAGATTGAGTTTGGGGTTGGGTTTTTTCCCTTTTTTTAAAATTGTTTTTATTTTTGCCCTGTTCTTACTCAGGCAAATTCCTATTTCCTGGGTAAGATACTCTCTGCAGTCACTCTCCTTTGAGCGGCTATATATAGCTATCAGCATCTGGCACACGCTCTAGCAAGTGTCCTTTGGATCTGCAATCTCTTTTTTGCCTATCAGCTCTATCCCCACATATTAATGGAAAGCAAAGCCACCCTATAACTCTTTTCTCTGTCTGAAAAAACTACAATTTGGCCTCAGTGTTGATAATTTGGTCAAAATCAGTCTCTTTGAAGGAGATGCATGTATAATAAGCAGTTCCATCCCAGTTTAAAACTGAAGATGCAAGTTCATGTGCTGCTACATTTCATTTGAGAGCAGAAGGTCCGTGAAAACTAAATAGGGAATATAGTCATTATCATGACTTCATCTG